AACTACCGCCTCACTGCTCGGAGAAAGCATTTGAATTTTTAAAGAAACTGCTATCTGTCAGAGCATGACCACAGAAACTAGAGGAGGTTAGAAGAGGCACTCAAAATGGGGTTGCCCTAGCCCTGGCCGGGTAGCTCGGCTGGTCAGAGTGTCGTCCTGATAACCAAGGTTGCAGGTTCAATTCCTGTCAGGGCACATACAAGAATCAACCAATGAATGCGTGGAACAACAAATCGATGTTCCTCTCGCTCTCTTCCTCTACCTCCCCCCCTTCCTCTCTCTCTAAAATCAATTAATAAAATTTTTAAATTTCCACAATGGGGTCGCCCAGGCAAAGACTCCCATCCAGGACACGTCTTCCTGTTTGGGAACAGGGAGATGGCAGGAGCCCTTAAAGTGATCTTCATGGGCCCAGGTTCCCCGCCTGGCGACAGGCACTGTGACAGCCTACCTGGCTAACACATCCGCTTCCAGAAAGGGGACCAGCAAAAGTTCCGGCAGGAGCGAGCCCTCTTAGGCAAACACCAAGCCCAGAAATAATTCTCATTCAAAGCACGATTTGCTGTGGGCCTGGCCAGGCCTTCCCAGCACAGAGCCCTTTGCAAACACTCAGCTTTGCCCCTGAACGTGGCTGGGGGAGGGGCGCACGGGCACAGCTGCATTTCAATTCCACTTTTTCCAGAGGCATCAGCTTCAGCTTCCTAGTGACCTACTCAGGGAGCTCCCCCAAAAGGGCCAATCTCACAGCACCCCCTGAGAGGAGAAAGCCTTTGCAGAATCAAGTGTAGCCCAAGCAAATACTTGTCTGGCAACAGCAAACTCCAGACCCATACCATTCATGGACCCCCTGCTGCAGATACTGACCAGACGTTCTAAGAGATAGGGATTCTCATTGTTATTGTCCCATTTCACAGACTGGAAAACCGAGGCTCAGAGATGTTATGTACTGCATGTCCCCCACTGCCCTTTACACATCATGTTGCCCTGAATCTGCTAATAAAGTAGCAAAATATTCAGGAGGGGCCCCACGTCATCTCCCCCCTGCCCCCCCCCCCCCATCTCTACCAGGAGTTAAAATGGGGATAAGAATGTAGCTGAAATCTGAGTCATTTCCAAAGCCAAGGCAGCACTGGGAATGGTCCCACCTATAAAAGCAGTTCGGGACCATGGTAGAAGACTGGAAAAATCGACAGAAGATACAAAAGGAAGTAAAAACCACCATATGTCCAGTATCTAGAATTAACCGCTGTAAAAAGGCAGCCTTCTAGTTTTCTTTCTGCGTGCATCCTGCACGTGTGTATACATCCCATTACCTTCACGAAATCAGTACTATATTATAGTTTTATGCCGTTTTTTACCCTTTTTATTATATAGTTTTCAGTGTATAAACTAAGCTTTTTTTAACGACGCTTTTTGGTTTGGGTTTGGGCGAGAGGGGGTATAGCTGACACATGCACACGGTACTACAGTCAGAAAGGACAAAAGCGTCTCCGGCGAGATCACCATCTTTCCTCCATCCATCCCTCAGCCACCGCTTCCCTCCCCTGGGGCAACTCTGATGACCATTTCTTGTGTACCAACCAGCCTTTTAAAACCATAAATCAGACCCTGCCACTCCCCTCTCCAATGGCTTCATCGCCCTGGCCATAAAACCCAGGCTCCTCACCAGTCCGTCCTACCAGGTCCCAGTGACCAGGCTCCGCACCCCTCTGATTTCTCCAGCCCCCCCCTCCGGCCACACTGCTATTGCAAACCCAGTTCTGGCCTCAACAATTTCTCATTGGCTTCCTTCCTTTTTGTGCCACTGGCTCCTTCTCATCCTTTAGGCCTCCCTGAGCTGTCCTCTCCCCAGGGCGGCTCTCACTGGCTTCCCCAAGTAGGGCCACCCCTGCCCACCCCCCACACATATGTTCTCTATCCTATCACCCTGCTGTGTTTCTTTCACATCACATAGGACCTACTATTGTCTTGGTTACTTATTTCAAATCATTGCCTGTCGCCTCCCACTAGAAAGAAGTCTCCCTGAAGGTGGGCACACCACCTGACTTCACCCCTGGAGCCCCGCTGGCCCCTGTAGGTGTTCAACAAATCTCTGTTAAAGCAATGAATGGGGATGACTGCATTGGCTGGTTCTCCTCACTGGACGCCCACTTGCAGGATCTCCAAGCACCAATCACCGATCACCTGGCCATCCTCCCTCACGCCTGGGGTGGGAGTCGGAGGGTCAGAGGAAGGAGAGAAAGCCCATTGTGTGAGACAGCGTGGGTGGCCAGCAGCTGCCTGCTCTTCCCTCGTCCCCAGCTCAGAGTCCAGAATCCCAGGAGCTGTGACAAACCCAAATTCCTAGAAAATACTCTCTAGGCAAGTGGAGAGTGGGAGGTGAAGCGGTGGCCCATCATGTACCCAAAATCCCATACCCATTCCACCCGGGCCGCTGGGATATTCCAGGCTCCCAAGTGAGACGCGGCAACAGGCAACACAGACGCTGCCTTCCCCAGGCCCAGCCCAGCTCGGCCCGGCCCACCTGCCCCTTCCCCGGGCCCTACACACCTGGGTTCCTCTCTCTGGAAAGTCACCCAACCCCAGAGACACAAATGCACATCCAATCCATGAGCCAGCAGCCCAGGCCCTGTACTCAGGGGGCACCCTGTGGAGGCACTTCCTTCCTGGGGCCTGATTTCCACTGAGAACACGGCAGCTGGGACCAGTGGCTAGAGCATCAGCCTGCGGACTGAAGGGTCCCAGGTTCGATTCCAGTCAAGGGCATGTACCTTGTTTGTGGGCACATCCCCAGTGGAGCATGTGCAGGGGGCAGCTGATCGATGTCTCTCTCTCATCGATGTTTCTAACTCTCTACCCCTCTCCCTTCCTCTCTGTAAAAAATCAATAAAAATATATTTTAAAAAAAATAAAGGAGGGAACGAAGTACCTTTCATAAAAATTGTGAAGGAAGAGAGGGAGGGATGAAGGGAGGGCAAGAAAGAAAAGTTAAAAGACTGAACAAGATGGAACTAGAAAAGGAGTAAGGGAGGATTTAACCAGCTGAAAACAGGAAAGGGTGGGAAGTGTGAGGTTTCTTCCTTTTCAGAAGTGGACAATTATTATAATTGATTAAATGGGCACAATCCAGAAGCGCTCTCTGGGCCCTGTACAAGGTCAGGTTAGTAATAACGACAAGAACAGCTAACATTTCCCCAGCACTTACTACGTGCCAGGCTGTTTGCTTTATCAAGGCTTTTAATCCTCAAGACAACCCTATGGAGTAGGTCCTGTTCCTACTCAGCCCATTTTACAGACAAGCAAAGTGAGGCACAGAGTACTCAGGTCAGATTGCTCAAGATCCTGTTGCCAGTGGCAATACCTGGGCTCTACTCCAGAGCCTTGGTTCTCAACCACTAAGCTATCCTGGCTGTCAGTGGTACAGTCAGAGGGGTGCCGGGCCTCCTGCAGTTCCTGCCTTGCAAACCACTATTCTCTTTTAATTTTCCTTTCAAACCACTATTCTTTAACTAATTATTGGATACCCATCTCAAGGCTGTGTGCATAACGCTGCCCATCTGGCATTAAAGGCAAATCTAGGAAAGTTAAAGGACTCGCCCAGGCTCGCGCTGGCGGGGGAATTAGGTCCCTCCTGTCCTGAATCCCGGCATCTGCAGCGCCGCCTCCTCAGGGAGCCGGTGGAAGCCAGGGTCCCTGGAACGCGCCCCAGAGCAGCACCTTTCTGCCGGCTTTCGCCAGACCCTTCACCAGCGCCGAGGCGCCCCGCCCGGAAATTCCCACAGAATCCAAGCAAACTTCCCAGGAAAACTCCCCGGCTTCCTCCGAGCCCGTCCCGGAGGCGGCTGCCAAGAGCGCCGCTGGAGTCCTTGCAGCTGCCGTCCACCCGCGGGCGGGAGCCGCCGCTCGTGCGCTGGGGTCCTCCCGGGAAGGTCGGGGCTGAAGTTCAAAATTCACTTCCCGCCCAGGCACAGCTCGCGGCCCCGCCCGGGGCTCTCCGGCCCCCCCACGACCCGGCCACCCCCCACCCCTCCCGCGCCCCAGCGCCAGATCCGTAACGAAGCAGCTGCCGCGCTGGGTCCCGCAGCTGGAGACCCCGCGGGCGATCCCCGCGCGTCTCGGGACTCGAAGCAGCATGTGTGCGCGCGTGTGAAGCAGAGGGAGACACAGAGAGAGAGAGAACGAGAGAGAGAGAGAGAGAGAGAGAGAGAGAGAGAGAGAGAGAGAGAGAATGTGTGTGTGTGTTTACGTACCGAACGCGCGGGTGGGAAAACAATGGCGAACTGCTGGGAACAGTGACCGCCCCCACCCCCACCTCTCCACCCCCCGCACGATCTGCTCTGACGGTGAAACCGGGAAGAAAAGGTTCACCTACGACCATCTCCAGGCGGGAGGTGGGGGTCGTAGGAAGAAGACGAGGTGGGAGGCGGGAGGCGGGAGGCGGGAGGTGGGAAGCGGGAGGGGTGAGACAGGAGCAGCGGCGCAGAAAACAAACAGGATGCAGCGCCCGGCTGGTCGGCGGGGGAGCCGACCTGGAGGGTGGGAAGGGTGGCTCTGGGTGGGGCCCCGCACCCCACACACAGGGCGGGGCGGGGGGCCTCGTCTCGGCGCCGGCCCCGGAGTCCCACTCGGGGCGCTCCCAGGTCGCCCCGGCTTCCTGCTGGGAAGTCCTTGAACTGGGCGAGCGGACAGGATGCTGTGAAAGACCTGGTGCCGCTCGGCCGGGCGCGGGCGCGGGGACCCCGCCAGCGCGGCTCGCGCGGGGCGCACAGGCACCGACCCGCGGCCTCGCCAGGCGGCCCCCCTCTCCACGACCACCCCGCCTCTCCCCGCGAGGAGCCCCCGCCGGCCGGCGCCGCTGGGGTCGGCAGGGGGTCCGTCCTTCCTGGGAAACTTTGCAAAGGATGGAAACTCGCAGGGATGAGAGCCGCGTGTGCCCAGAACCGTGGGGGCGCGAGTGTCAAACTTCCGCGGGCGGGAGGGGGCGCGAGGGGAGCACTTACTACTCAGCCGGGCGCCGCGCTCGGGGCTCCGGGCTCCGCGCTGCCGCTGCCGCTGCCGCTGCCGCTGCTGCTCCGCCGTCGCCCTGCGCCGCAGCCCGGCTTCCCGCTCACATGCCCCGCCGCGCAGCGGCCGGCGCGGGGCTGGGAGGGGCACGCCCCCCGCCGTCGGCCGGCGACTCGCTCCGGACTCCGGGCCGACCGGGTGCGCGCCCAGCGGCCGGCTGCGTCCGGGCGGGGCTCTCCGCGGGCCAGGCCGCTCTCCGCCCTCTGCCCTCTGCCCTCCGCTGCGGCCGCCTTCCTGCCCCGGACTCGCCCGGACGCGGCGCCGGCCCGCCGCCCGGCTCCCCGGCTCCCCGGCTCCCCGGCTCCCCGGCTCCCCGGCTCCCCGGCTCCCCGGCTCCCCGGCTCTCCGGCTCTCCGGCTCCCCGGCTCCCCGGCTCTCCGGCTCCCCGGCTCCCCGGCTCTCCGGCTCCCCGGCTCCCCGGCTCTCCGGCCCCGCGCCCGGGCTCAGTCCCGGACGAGCCTCCGCGCTGACCGCTGCGCCGGCCTCAGCCCGGCCCGCCGCTCCGGGCGGCGCCGGCACCCGCACCCGCACTTCACTCCCGAGCGGGACCGGGAGCCGGGCGCTCGCGGCTCGCGGCGGCGCGGCGACTCCACAGCCTCAGAGGAGAAAGAGGGAGGGAGACACGGCGGGCAAGGGGAGGAGGAGGGAGGAAGGGTGGGGAGACGGAGGAGGGAGGGACAGAGAGTTCCCTCCTCCTCCCTGCAGCCAGGTCCATCCTGGCATCAACAGCTGGAAACCTCTGGTGGAGAGGGGAGAGCGGAGCTCCTGCGCGGCGGAGGCGGATGGGGGCGGAGAGCATATTAAAAAGACGGGGATCCTGCCGACTCCCACGGCCGGGAATGAGGGTCCTACAGAAACTCTTAGCTCCTTAGGGCAGGCCCCCAGAAGTTGTCCAGCCAACTCCCAGCGCCCTAACCCTTTCAGGCGGATAAACTCGATGTAGGGTTTTTAAAACCCCCATTTCAGAATCTCCGTTAAGAACCTGATCCCTCCGGCAGCTGGACAGCTTCCTGATGCTTCAGCTCCGTCCCCAGTCCTAAGCCAGTCCTTGGTGTGTGTTTCCTGACCTGTTCTGTATAGAGGAGTGGATTCCTGTAATTCAGTGTTCTTGTTTGGTTGTTTTGTTTGTTTGTTTTTGAATTATTGATTTCAGAGAGGAAGGAAGAGGGAGAGAGATAGAAACATCAATGATGAGAGAGAATCATTGGATCAGCCGCATCCTGCACGCCCCCTACTGGGGATTGAGCCCACAACCGGAGCCTGTGCCCCCGACTGGAATCGAACCCGGGACCTTCCAGTTCGTAGTCCAACGCTCTACCCACTGAGCCAAACCAGCTAGGGCTCAATGTATTTTTTAAAAAACCTATAGTATGCCTGGCCCAGCTGGGTGCAGAGGACACCAGGATGAATGACAGTGCCCTGTCTGGATTCCCACTTTGTGAGGAGACAGATGGGCGAGCACCTGAGGCATGGAGCCCAGCTAAAGCACCTGGGCGTGGAGCCGGGGTCAGCATCTTCCAGGGAAAGTGTCATGTGAGCTGGGTCTTGGGAGGACCTGTGGGAGCAGAGCAGGTTAAAGGAGTGGCCGTCGTGGAGCTGCAAATAATGTGCCCCCGGCGTAGGTGATGAGGGTCTCTGCAAGTGATGGTCCGCTGGCCACATAGACCTACTGAGGGCGTGAGATTTCATCATTCCCCATCGCCTTCGTTGGCTCTTTCCATTCAACTTTTCGTTCCCGGTGTAGATATCAACTCTTCCGGGAGCCTTTCTTGACGGGCCAATCTGCGTCAGGCACCCCGTCTGTATAGGGGCTCCAGAGGCCCCCAGTCACAGTGTGAAAACAGTCCATTTGTCTGTCACCCCCCTCTGGACTGTAAGCTCCACAAGGGCAGGGATGTGTCCAGGGGTTGGCAAAGAGCAGGCCCTTGAAACGTACTTGCTGCCCAGCCGGCGTGGCTCAGGGGTTGAGCGTCGACCTATGAAGCAGGAGGTCACGGTATGATTTCAGGGCAATGCCCAGGTTGCAGGCTTGATCCCCATTGGGGGGGCATGCAGGAGGCAGCTAATCAATGATTCTCTCATCATTGCTGTCCTCTCTTTCTCTCTCTCCTTTCCTCTCTGAAATCAATAAAAATATATTTTTAAAAAATACTTGTTGATCATTTGGTTGATTGAAGGGAGTGGGGAGTCAGTGAGGGATTCTAAGCAGGGTCTCTGCTGAGATCATTCCAGCCGGAGACAGGGAGGCCAGCGACCAGACAAGGGCAATCACCACCGGACCGGCTTGGGCTGAGTTAGGGGGAGGGAAGACGGGAAGGAAGAAACAGGTGGCGATAAGAAGGTAAGAGAAGTCAGTATTAACTCATCACAGCCTGGCTTTTGGGTGACTGTGGATGAAGCCATCTCGGACACCATGAGAGTTACCCAGGTGCCACCAGCCAGCATGCCTGTGTTTGCCGTATACTTGGATGTTTTTCTCTGGCTCCTGATCAAGCTTCAATGGGAGCTTCACTGTGGGCCCGACCTGTAGCTGTCCTTAACCACGGCAATCTGAGAGGAAGAGCAGGGAGGTGGGAGGTGGGAGGTGGGCTGTCCTCTCTCCAACACCCCCCCCCCTCCTCCATCCATGATATTTCCCTTCACAGGTGTCTACTCTTCCCAGGCACTGCCACTAACTTGCGATATTTTTAGTATCTGCCTACTATGTCTTCTGTGTGGAGCTGCTTTCATGCACAGTACCTACTTGTGCCTTATCCTGATTCTGTGAGTTTTGTATCATTATCCCATTTTAAAGATGAGAAAAATGAAGCTCAAGGTCATAACCTGTGGGAAGCTGATAGAGGGTTAAGCCTCGGACTGACCTGCTGGCAAAGTCACAAACAAGTCCCAGCTTAGAGGGCACAGTCCTCTTAGCATAATTAGGCTTGACCTTATAACACTCCCTAGATCTTATCTGGGAATCTAATGGGCTGAGGAAGTGCAGGAAGTGTAACCATGGTGTAAACAAGTGAAACTCACAAGAACAGTGTAACTCTGGTAACCACTACCTTGTTTACCGCTCACTATAAAAAGCTTGGTGAGGCCTGAGCACAGTGGAAGTCCTTCCTCCTGAGTTGGACTTGCCCGCCTGGTCCCCCAATATTCCCAAATTATCTCATGTCTTTTCTTTTTCATTTGTTGTGCGGCTCCTCTTCCAGACCCGAACCCTGAACCACGCAGGACGTGGAGGGAAACACTTAACGACAATAACCAATAAGTGGTGGGAGGAAGTTACCTGACTCTGAAGATCCTAGATCTTTCTATACTATTATACCATTTCCTAGGAACACCCATCACATTTACACCATGTAACCCAGCCAACCACTCCCTCCTTGAAACACTTCACAACTTCACTCTCTCCTGAATGTCTTCTGGCCTCCCTGGCTGCCTCTCTCAGCCCGCCTTACTTCTATTCCTTCCGCTACCTTTGTCTCCAAGTGGGTGTTTCCTGCGGGTTCTCTCCTGGGCCATGTTTTCCTCTCTCTGTACCTTCTCTCCCTCGGTGAAATTTTATTCGTTTCCATAGTTTTCAATAACAACTATATGTTGATTATTCTCTCAATTTTTTATTTAAACCATTACATCTGTTTAGTGTATTTCAGACTCGTGCATCCAACCACACACTTGACATTTCTACCCAAGGATCTCACAGACACCCTAAGCGTCACCTGTTCAAAATTAAACCTTTAGCTCCTACTCCCAAGCCTGCTAACACACTGCGCCATCTGCCCCATCTCACTAAGAGGTCCCGAACCGTGACCTACCCAGTGGCTGAGGCCTAAAACCTAAGACTCATCCCTGATTCCTCCTCTTCCATCTAATCAAATTAGTGCCGCGGATCTATCTCCGAAAATATGTACCAATCCATCCACTTCCCTTTCCTCGCTGTCCCCACCCTGGCCCAGGCCTTCATCATCTCTCAGCTGGACTCCCACAGCCTCATTGCCTCTCAGAGCTGAGACCACCTGCAGCCGCATAATTTAACGAAGACTGTTTCCATCCACATGACTTTAATATCTGTTCCAGAAATTTCTTGTCTGGGAAGATAAGACTGTAAACCAGTAAATAACTTCATTATTTGCTTCAGAAACTTCCTGAAAATCCATTTATCTGAACAATAGACTGCTCCCACAGCCCCCTCCTCGGATAATAGTTTGCTTAACCTGGCAAACCACTGGCTTATCGAACCATTGTTTATTCTTCAAGATCCTTCCCGCGCTGTGTCCAATCCTAAAGTGTTATCTCACACATTTTGCCCAGTCTCAATCAGATCTTCCATATTGCAAATCTGCCTTAAACTAGGCTTCAAACCCTGTAAGTACCTCTTCACCTGGGGAGCACCCCCCCCACCCTGCTCTTCGCAGAGCTGGCTCCTCTTCCTCCTCTGCTCTCAACACACATGTGCCTACATCTGTCCTCCTCCCCATCTGCAATCATCCTCTCCCCTTCTGTCCTCCTCAGGCCCTGCTTCCTTCATAACACTTAGCACGCAGTTGGGACTTATTTCCTCTGTTTTCTTGTCTTTTTTTCTCTCTCCCCTTTATTATTATTTTTCTAATATATTTTATTGATTTTTTTTTTGCAGAGAGGAAGGGAGAGGGATAGAGAGTCAGAAACATCGATGAGAAAGAAACATCGATCAGCTGCCTCCTGCACACCCTCCACTGGGGATGTGCCCGTAACCCAGGTACATGCCCTTGACCAGAATCGAACCTGGGACTCTTCAGTCCACAGGCTGACGCTCTATCCACTGGGCCAAACCGGTCAGGGCCTCTCTCCCCTGTAGATTGTATGTAGGTTCTGTGAGGGAAGAACCTCGCCTGTTCTAATTTCCATTTAATTTCCAGAGGACAGTCAGTCCTCACGTCATGATGTCAATAGATTCTTGGACTTCAAGAAAAATGAAGCCAACGTTACCATAGGCCAATTGACATAAAGAAGAGTTAAGTTCCTAGGACATCTCAACAACCTTATAAGCAAATGATGTTATCTGAGGACCTGCTGTAGATGCTCACAACATATTTGCTGAAGGAATGACTTTGATTGGCTTCAGTGAGTCTGCTTTCCTGTGGCTGCCAAGCCTGATCCTCAGACACTGGTGGGGGCTGTGGGTGCCCAGGATTCTGGGGTTCCCCACACTTTTTTAACCTCTGAAGTTAGAGATCAGGTGTAAAATGCAAATTCTCTTGGGAGGAGTAATACAAGGATTAAATTCACAAAATGGTGTGAATTGCTTTCCTCGGTGCTCCAGGAGCCAGGTGAGGGCCAGA